GGTATTAGCGCAAATGGGATCAAATCTGGGAGCCAATTGTGTTTCGGCAGCCAACGATCTTAACGCCATGTTTCCTAAGTACATTAATCTCCGTCGCGGGTCGTTTCTCATTGCGTTCATTGGTGCTTGGGCTCTTACGCCGTGGAACATATTGGCATCCGCCGATGCATTACTGAACTTCATGGATGGCTATGCCATCTGGTTAGCACCAATCACTGGGGTGCTTCTCTCAGACTTCTATCTCGTGCACAACCAGCGCTATAGCGTGCGGGAGCTTTACAATCCCAGAGGTCGTTATAGATATAATCGACTGGGCACCAACTGGCGCTCTTTGGTTGCATGGTGTGTTGGTTGGATACCGTTGATACCAGGTCTAGCTGCAGCAGTAAGTTGCCTGTCATATAATGAGGAAAATTGATACTCACACAAACCAAAGACAAATGCGGCAGTTACTATCACCAACGGCGCGACACACATGTATGCATTGGGATATATATATGGAATACTCTCGAGCTTCGTTGTCTACACTGGATTGTGTATCGCTTTCCCTGTGAAGGAGACTATGGCATATGAGAGCGAAGAAGTTGCTTGATCTTACACACCAGAATTTACAATGAGTTATACAACCAAATCAGTGCATTGTTGCCTGAAACGCAAAGCACCGTAAAGCGAGTCTAGGTTGAGTTCAAACACCCCGTCAAATATGAATGGTTCACTAGTCTGTCATCTCTGAGTTGCCGAGACGGCTCGGGTGGCATGTAAATTTACTAGTAGAACACAAGATCAATCAATTTGGATAGACCAAATAGCAACGGCAATGGCAAGACTCAACCATATCAAGATGTTCCGTCGAAGTTCAACTTAATTGCATTGTTTTGTGTCAAAGAGCGACCAGTTCTGAGCTGCCAATACAGCCCAGTTGAAATAGCGGTTTGACAACGCCCAATGAGGCAGGTGCGTACGTGTAGGATTCGCTACAATGCATAAGCCCCGACTTTGCCGTGACCTTGCCGTACAATCTGAATCGTCCACCATCTAAAGTCAAGTGTAGCACCGAAAGAGCTACAAATCGCGATTCAGACAAAATAACAGAGATATGTTGGCACAATCATAATCCAAGCAGCATCTCTTCAATTCAAGAATCCCGAGCATGCCATTCGCGAGTTGAAGACGACATGGCCGAGATAAGGCCCCTATCTCGACTCGAGAGGGCTTTGGATGCTGCATGGGATCCCAGTTTGGAGACGGAGGATAAAGACGAGTCGTGCTGGACAGAGATTCAACTTGCGGCACGCGAAGGCAATCTTGCACGTGTGAAGGAGATCATCGACACTGATCCAGATGCTATAAACGCACCGCCTCAAGGCTACTACGGGCAAACCGCTCTGCAGGCGGCATGCATGCGAGAACAAGAAGACGTCGTGGCTACTCTCTTGGCGGCAGGTGTTGATATTGATGCTCCGGGAGGGAACAACTTCCATCGCAATGCTTTCCAGATAGCTTGCAGTGTGGGTAACTTGGAAATTGCAACGATGTTACTCGACGCCGGGGCAAAACTCAACACACCGGCGGGAAGATACAATGGCAGGACAGGGTTGCAGGGCGCCGCAGACAGTGGGAATTTTGAGCTCGTTAAGATGCTGCTCGAAGTTGGGGCGATTGTGAATGCGCCGTGCTCGCCAACGGCGGGCCAAACCGCCTTGCAAGGAGCCTGCATCTACCAGCACATCGACATAATAAAGCTGCTCTTGGCACATGGAGCAGATGTCAACGCTCCGCCCAGCAAGGGCAAAGGGTTTACTGCTCTTCAAGCTGCAGCCTACGTGGGAAATATTGAGATTGTGGACTTGCTACTTGACCACGGGGCCGATGTCAATGCCCCCGGAAGTGTCTTTCGAGGTGCTACTGCGCTTCACGCTGCAGCTGAAAGAGGCCATGTTCCAGTTGTTCAGAAGCTTTTGGCAGCCGGAGCTGATCCGAACATCTTTGCAGGCCGTGTCCGGCAAACACCGCTCGAAAGTGCCATGGCAAGTGGCCATGATGATGTTGCCCAAGTGTTGAGACAATCAGGAGCAACAGGCGAGGGCGTGAGAGGAAGGTTTCTGTTTTCCGCATAGTGACGACGAGATATGGGAGTTTGGATCAAGCCTTAGTCAATCTCCAATGATTTAAGTTAAATTATTAGGAGTCAATACTTCTTCTCCTGAGCCTCAAAACCTCTTTCCCGTGTCGACGCAACCTACGATATGAGCATGCAGCCCGATGCGCCGTAATCTGGTTGGTGAAATTATTGAATTGGCCTTGCAAGTTCAAATTGACACGTTGTGAGTGCCTAGCTGGCAGCTAGTCAACCTGTATGGAGTCTGTCTTTGTGGTAACTTGAGGAGCCTGCACATATTTACACATGTCGCATGACCATAAGCATGAGCATTGAAGATAGATGTGTCGCAGAGTTATTCAATGGCCAACTGATTCCTGTTTTACTTCGCATCGTAATCATGCAGGATTAGTAGGATTTCTCTAAACCCGGTTGTAGGCGGCAAAGGCTGGGCAAAAAGGTCGTGTCGAAACTCGTGTTGTTTGATCCACATAAGTATTCAGCTCCTCCCTGGTGAGCCTGGGCATTCTCGGGTTGTTAATTATGGACCCAGATGGCGACGCATTAAATACGAATCTCACGCTTTGACACAGCCTTACCAAAGTGCGCCTGGTGGGTTCCAGTGGTCTAGTGACAAAAGGTCGCCATACTTAGTAAGATCTCCAGCTTTTTTCTCGTATTTGGCTACTGTTCAATCTCCACATATAGCGCAATTTCTCCCTTACTTTTTTCAATGTTTGTTGATTGATTGCCCACGACTTCATTCATTCTGTGTTTCATTTCCTTGCAAAACATTCGTTCTCGTACATATTGTTCTGTTAATATGCATTTCCAGTCATTCGTTTGGGCATGTTTAGTGGGCTCAGCTCTTGCAAAAGTGCAGTTCTTGGTCAGTTCGAAGCGCCCGATGGTGCCGGCTCAAAGATCTAACGTTTGTTGACAGGGTGTCGCCATTCCGGGATTTGAATTTGGCTGCTCGATCGAAGGGTTTTGCCCCCAGGATACCATTCAAGCGCCATTTACCTCTTGGGGCGGTGGCGATGGAGCGGGTCAGATGCAGCATTTTGTCAAAGATGACAAGATGAACATGTTTCGCCTACGTGAGATTTTGCTTGATTTATGATTCTGTAGCTACCTACTAATACACGAATACAGCCGTTGGGTGGCAGTTTATAGTCAATGATAAGCTTGGAGGAACCCTGGATAACAGCAACTTCGGAAATTTTGACCAGCTGGTGAAACAGTGTCTTGACACAGGGGCATATTGCATGTTAGACATTCACAACTTCGCACGCTGGGATGGTGAAATAATCGGCCAGGGAGGACCAACCGACGAGCAATTCGCGGATCTCTGGTCTCAATTGGCAACCAAATACGCGGACGAAGAGAAGATAGTGTTTGGGCTAATGAATGAACCGCACGATCTCGACGTCCAAATATGGGCCCAAACGTGCCAGAAGGCAATCACGGCGATTCGAGAAGCTGGGGCAACTTCTCAGATGATCTTGCTCCCCGGAACGAATTTTGACAGTGCAGCCACTCTTATATCGACTGGGAGTGCTGCTGCGTTGTTGGATTTGACAAACCCTGACGGTACTACGGATGGTCTAATTCTGGACATCCACAAGTATCTAGATGAGAACAACTCGGGCACGCATGAAGAATGTGTATTCGACAATGTTGATGCATTCACTGAACTGGCCGATTTCTTGAGGAAAAACAAGAGGAAGGGCTTGGTGAGCGAGACAGGCGCCTCTAATGATGCATCGGTAGCGTTTTCTTTCTATTTGTTCCTGTCAGCTGCTAATAATGCTCGTAGTGTATGACAAGGTTCCTTGCACAAAATACTGCCATCAACGAGAACTCCGACGTGTTCATAGGTCTGGTGGCATGGGCTGCCGGGAGTTTCTCAACAAGCTATATCTTGAGCCTGACTCCTACGGTCAACAATGGGCAGTATGTCGACAGCGACATCTTGACCGAATGCGTCCTCGCGCCATGGAACGATTCCGAGGATACTGTTTCCTCGGCGAGCACATCTACTAGCACAACTGCCAGCTCCTCTGTTACTGCGGCAGCAACCAAGCCCGCTTCAAAAACTACAGAAGCAACAACCATGTCCACAAGCACCAGCTCAATTTCGCAGCCAAGTGCGTCTAGTACAGGCAACGATGTCGTTTCAAAACCCAGCGATAACGCTGCAACCTCGTTATTAGGCGACAAGACACCTATGAAGTTCATTATTGGGTTAGCGGCAGCGGCTATGTTTGTATAATATTAAATCATGTATAATTGATACCCAATTCAAGTTCCGAGAGAAGTTGCTCCGAAACTTTCAAAGTACCCAGAGTGACGCTCAAATTAGAGCGTTGATAGAGTAAATGAACTAACTTACCAAAATAGCACTCAACGGTTTGATTGAATTTAGTGAGGACCCTCAAGACGATCACTCGGCATCATTGAGCCGGAGATGCTGTACAGTGGAGACGCTACGCAGGCACGGCGGGTTGCTGCTAAAACCAGCTCCCGGTAGCCCTATATGACGTTTGGCGCGTCATGGATCGGGACTACTCCGTCATCTTGGACCAACAACGTCTCCAACCGCCACTCGTTTCTGCCAACTGGCCAACGCGCGAACATCAAGGCACTCGAAAGCTTGGCAGCTTCGTGTGGGGAAGATGCAAATCGTTCAGCATTTGCCGTGGAGTAGCCCACAAGTATGAGCTCATTCTCAGACTGGAACTTCCAGGTTCATAGCTGCCAGAACTGCTAGCAGAGATGATGTCAGACTTCTCGGCCAGTTGGTAAGAAGTATATGAAGCTGTAGTTTCACCCATCGGGTCCGATTGAGGTTGGAGTGACATTCAATCAATCTTGACACATCAATTGCACTATCAAAACAATGGGTCTCGGGACAAAGATCAAGGATGCACTGGCCGGCGAGCCTCACGAATCAACATACGAGGAGAGCAAGCCTCCCGGAGCATTCCCCGAGGATGGTTCCGGCAGACATACAGATGGCCGACAGGTTGTACCGCCGCATGGAAGTGCCGTCCCTGGCACAGGCAAGACAGGGACTACCGGCATGACAGGCCCTACCTCGAACTATGATGAGCAGAGATATGAGTCCGGTGCCGGCACTGGTGCTCACGGCCATCACGGCCGGGGAGCAGCTGGTGCTACATCAACAGGAGCTTCTCTCCCAGAATCAGAGTCTCGTCAACACAGGCTACACAAGACGGATGACCCTCGAGCGTTTGAAGATTCTAGAGAGTATAGCCGCGCCAACGATAATTACATGGATCCGCCTCACGAGAAGGCAGCGTATGAGCCTGGTCACACCCATCGTGATTCCGGCGTCGACCTCAATCGAGCATCCAACAAGGACCACCCTTATTGGGGTGATGTCGAGAATGGCCAACGTCGTCATCATGGTGCCACAGAAGGCATTGCCGCTGGAGCTGGCGCAGCCGGTGCAGGATATGGTGCCAGCAGTTTAGGAGGAAGAAATTTACCTGAACGCACGCGTCACGGACACAACTCACATGGACATGGGCTCGGGTCGAAGAATGATGAACTTCATCCCAGCGGTGAAGCTGTTGGTGGTGGTGTCTATAACACAGTGACTGGTGCTGGTAGCCCTGAGCAAGCAGGACAGCACACCGGGCATCACGGACAGTCTGGCCACCCGGGCCCTGAATCCCGAACCTCTGGAACAACTGGTGGAATTGGAGGGCCTACGTCCGGATACTCAGACACGCGATATGACCCAAAGAACGGAACCCGCGACTCGATCCCAACTTCTCGGGATGATCGGACTGCCCCTGGTGTTGTCGGTGCCGGTGCTGGCGTTGGTGCCGGACTTGCAGCCTCCGAACTGTCTCGACGACATCATGAGAAAGACTTGGCTGAATATGACACACCGCCAAATCATCACGGCCGTGACAAGCACGAGCCTGGCATGCCCCATAGCAGTATGCTTGACCCATACACTGCCAAGGACTATTCTAGAACTGCACCCAATGAGACTACCGGCCTCGGGAGTAGTACGTTAAGGAACACCAAAGATAATTCACGTTTGGGCACCGGGCCTGAGAACATACCACACCAGGTACCCGAATCCTCAAGATTCGAAAACGCACCGGGGTCTGGCATGGGCCCAACTAGTGGTACCTCGAAGTTTGATCATGAACGTCAATCAGATATGCCGCCGATCGGTGAAACCTCAGGCTTTGGCAGTGGACATCCATCGCATACGGGCGCAGTTGGCGAAAACTCGAGATTTGATCATCAACATGGATCCGGTATGGGCCCGGCTGCCGGGACAGGTGCTGGAAGCGCTCTCGAGTCGGGAATGGGCAAAAGTCATTATGGCCCAGCACATGAGGGTGCGAAGGTAATGCACACCTGTCATAGTTGTGGCGCGGATAATGATATTAGCCACTATTTCAAGAAGGATGCGGTTTACCGTATTGGCTCTTAGAGATATTGTAAACCTAGTTGGATACATGAAGGCCTATTTGTAACAATATAATGAAGAGCGATGTTTTTTTAACCGATGTTTGGCCATATATCGTGCTGTATTATGATGAATCTATTTGGGAACATCGTATTCTCTGCTACCCTCCGTACAGAACAATACAACTATCGAATGCTCATTTAGCCCAAGCTGATTCCTTGCCTCGCGGCACACAGTCTTTAACGCGGCCAGGGTTGATGCCCCACAAGGTCCTGCATTGATTCCCATCTGCTTTAGTTCCTCTACAGCCACGTGGACTGCGTTATCAGTAACAAGCACATCTGCGTCGACCCCCTGTTTCAAGACAGGCCATGCCGTACTGGAAACTGTACCGCAGTTCATTCCGCACATGATTGTATCCCCAGTTGATACACTGACCATATTGCCTGCTTCTAGCGATGCTCTCAAACAAGCGGCCGTAGTCGGCTCTACGGTGAGAACGCTTGCTCGACAGGGGTGGCCTTCTTCTGATTTCTTGAAATGCTCAGTCACCGCATGAGCGACAGAGCCTACTCCTACTGGGACAAATGCATGTGTTGGCCGCCGCCCATCTGTCGCCTGCTCAACTTGTAGATCGGACTCATTTAGCATGGTGCTATAGCCTTCAACAACCCACTAGTGTGTGGTAAGCATCTGAAATTCCGACAGTGGCATATTAAAACCGACCTGAGGTATCGCTTCGTATCCTTCCCATCCCATATCCATGGTCAATATCGCCTTCTCGTCGCGCTCCGCTTCCCTTCTTGTAACCGCAACAGCGTCATCGTAGCTCCCATTCACAACTACTACTTCTGCGCCCTCATTCCTGATTCGAGTCCTGGTCGTATCCGGCATGAAATCCGGCACCAGAATTTTGGCTTTGATGCCCAAGTACTTGGCCATGCGTGCAACAGCCCGGCCCCAGTTGCCTTCTGTGCACGTTACAAGCCAAAAGCCCTCTTGCCGTGCAGCATCTCCTAGCTTTGAGAGTAGTTCCTCCCCTTCGGTCTGTGTGGTGTCAAAGACCAGTCCAAGACGGTCAGAGACAGCCCGGAAAATAGCCCACGAGGCTCCGAGGATTTTGAAAGAAGGCAGGCCGAAACGGTTGGATTCATCTTTCAGGAACACTTGACCGAGCCCGAGTTCCTTCGCAACGGAAGGAAGGGCGTGCAGCGGTGTTTCATCATAATGAGGCAATTGCTCATGGAAAGACAAAGCCTGGGACTCTGCACCAATATCATAATTGTCGCATATGAAACTCGCAGCCCCAGGATTCAAGTGTATCCAAGATGTCATTATCTGCTCACCTGCGGCGTGCGCCCACGCTCTTTATTGTGATCGCAAATTATCTCTAGAGATTTAAAGCGCATGAAATGGCGATGCGTATGTTTCGAACACGCAGCATCGGAATTTTAAAATGCCATGTCAAAACCCAGTGAGTGAGTTAGTGGAGAACCCCGCTAGATCCCCATCGATCAATGCCGAGCTCGGTTCTTGGCATCTCGCATACACAGGCCCTTTGTAAGCTGTTTACACAATACACTTTGTCTTCAGGTGATTTTTTCTTCAACGAAAGGAATCGTTACAATGTGCTTCTTTGTGAACTAATTCCTTTGAAGAGTACGAGCAGCGGTTAGTTATGGAGGAGGATTCAATTGGAGACAAAGACTGTGTAAGTGATTTAGAATTAACTGATGTAAATAAATGCGACATTATCGAAGCATTTGTGATGTGATATGACAAACTCTAGAGCCTATACCTATGAATGCAGAAGCGCCAATGTGGGAGATCTGAGATCAGTATCTTGTCTTACTGATAACATTCAAAGACTCTCAAGGCAAGCTCGCTATCATTGGTACGATGTGTCACTACATCATGGTCTGTTTCTACTGCCGTAATTGCAAGGAATTCCTGACTGCCAAGAAAGAACGATCATACCTTTGCTCCGTAGCGATGGATAGCCTGGAGAGGTGCCGTCAAGAGTGGTTTGTAGAAACAGTACTGGATTGCGTAGAGCGGGCCTGTGGTGCGTGCCCGAGCGGAGACTTGGGTCTGGCCAATTGATATCGGATCAAGGCAGAAAATGAATGCGGTATGAAATGCTTTTCCTGTTCAAATATAGCATTTTCTAATTGAATCTAACTTCGAGTCGTGGCCGTTATTTCGAGGCGTTCCCTTTAAATCCGACAATGAGACACAGCCCCCAGCTCCCACGTCACTAGACACGGTTCATTCCTCGTGATCCAACAAGGTGCTATATTAGTGAACATTACTTCGCCTGAGAGATTCGATAAGGGCGCTTGAATTAGGTGTGTGACCAAGAAAGTTGCTCAGCAATCCGAGTAAGTCCGAATGACCTCCCCCATATTGCAGGATCTTGCGGCGGTATCTATTCCAGGTCTCAGAGTTACTAGGATCCTCGGCAAACACTTGCTGAAATAAGTCCTGAGCGAAGGCGGTGCAACTATGAGAAATTTATCAGCGAAAAGCAACCGGAGTGATCAAGGCGAGCCAATGCTTGAATATAACATAGCGATATAGCCGAGAATTCGGGCAGAGTGTCACAAGCAAGTAGTTACAGACCAAAGATACGCATAGTAGCCACAGTCATACCCGGCTGTGAGGTGCGTAAAAGCAACAAAATGTGACCCTTCTTGTCTACATTCTGTAAAGTCCATGCCTTCCACCTCTTCGCGAAGATCGTACCAGATCTTTCGGAGATCAAGGGACTCGGCTTCTTGACGAGTCCTTACACTATGGATGTCAATGTCGAAAAGAGAAGTAGATCTAATATTGCAGACATTGGTTACCAATTTTAGTAAACCAAGATATTCATTACTCACAGTTGAAACAAGTGATACAATGCTCTGTTAGCGTAACGTCGACTTGTTAAACGGTAAACTAAGTCTAGGGGTATCTTCTGAGGCGGATCTGCAAGGCCTGGATGTTCTTGTCGCCATTTAGCCATGCAACCAGAATTCAGCGTAGAATAATGGCAGCTGAGCTCTTCTAAGACTTCTGGCATCCAACACCAGTTCTCCAACATGACGCTTGGCGTTTCTCCGAAATCAGGAGGAAGTCGAGTGCCATGAAAGCGTGCATATCTGGTCTTTGATACAAGGTTGTGAATCCCATGACCTAGCTCTTCGAGATTATTCTTGTCAGTGCTGAAGCCATTCATTTGGTCCATAGACTAACCATGGAAAAGCGTCACCACTTCGTGGTGCTTCAACAAGGCGCACTTGGTTGGGGTTGAGGTAGGAAAAGCGCACATTAGTATGGTCGAGGGTTGGTGTCTGCCGCCGTTTGGTTTCAAGAAGCCCTATATTAATAATTACGAACGAATTTGCGAACATTTCTGCGATGTGAATAAAACTCACGCATTCCATAGTGACGTTCTGGTTTCCTCTATATTTATTTTCTCTCCAAAGCAGGTCGAAATATAGATACCCGACAAACTCGGCATCATCAGCGTTACCATCCCACACAGAAAACACCTGGACCGTCTCGTGCTAGATTAGATGGTTTCCGAGCTTATCACTTGGAATGAGGTCAAAGCGCAAATTAAGGAAAGATGAGAAGATTCCCAGCATCGCCGCCGCTGTTGGTTCCAGAGGAAAGAATTCAGAGATGGCCGTATGGTCTACCCGGGCTTCTTTTTCCACGATATTCTGATAATAACGCAGATCCCATGGGGAATTTGCTGAGGATGCTTTGTTTCTGTATCATCCTCGGTCGTGAAATCTTTCAATCGTCGCCTCTGAAGAATATCAAGTTCTTTTCTTCCAAGTGGCTGGAGACTGGTCGAAAGATTGGTTAAAAAATCCTCTACCCATTTGGTAGTTTTGACGAGCCTTCTTTCAAGCCTGAAATCGGCATGACTCGCATACCCTAACATCGAAGCTTGCAACTGACGCTTCTTTGCAATTTCTTGGAGAAGAGGGACATTGACAACCAGCTTCACCTGGTCACCAAGAAACATTCTTTTTCGAGTATCGGCATTATGTGCATATGTCAAAACTGTGACTGTGCCGCCATTCGCAAATGGCACAAACTTTCTCAGTGGTTCCTCTGGAATAGGCTGTTCATCCTTCCAGCGTTTCATTTCTTCAAGGGGCACACCATCGAGCTCCTCTTCGTTGAAGTACAACCCGCCATTCTCTTGCGATACATTGCGCTGAAACTTGGTTCTCAAGTCATCAATATGAAGTGTTTCCTTCAAATATTTGTCTGATTCTTCTTGGTTTAGTAGACCGCGTCCACATCGCTTGTACTCAAGTATGGTTTCCGCGAGCAACAACTTCGACTCGGGATCTATCTCCTCGTCCCGTGCTTGCGCTGCACAAAGCAGCGCATAGTAGTCATCTCGTGCAGTCCATGAAGCCTCGGCTACACTGTAGAGTTTCCGGGCATGGGCTACAGCATCTTGCGTGGCTTTGTCAGGAGCGGCATATTGGAGCATCCAGATTACCCCGAGGTCACCTGTCGTGTCGTTGTCAAGCTGCGCAAGAGGTTGCATCACATTTGCAAATGTGGCGGTTGAAGGCGTGACAGTTTGTACAATTGCATCTTGCAATTGTTTAAACTGGGACAGGATACGTTCCATGGTGGGAACAATTTCTTCTGTTGTGAAAATATGGGGCAGAGGCTGAGGTGCTGACATTTTGAGAGGCGTTCTCTATGAGATATCGTGTATATGTGTTCCTACGTGAGATTGAGTAGATTTTAGGCTTGTGTCAACGCTTAATTACAGGAACTTTGAAGACTCGAGAAATACATCACTGAAGCTGATTCTTGCGGATAAGAAGGCTTTATGAAGATCTTACCATTTACAATGTTCCCCGCCTTCATTACTACCTCATATGCAGAGGTATTGATCATGAGCAGCTGATATGCGTACCCCTGCGGCACAGCACGTTGTATATCAGTACACGAGATTGTCTTGCTATGCAAGCGAGATCTTTTGAATGTATAGTATAAAGACTCCAAGGCTTCGAATTTGTGACCATTTGTTAAAATACTGAACTCGTCATAATGATTCCGAGGATGTTGTGAAAGCATCTATGGAAGTTTACCACCTGTTCTGGTCGCTCTTCCGACCTCCGATTGTGTAGTGTCTTCCGCGTAACGCTTGTAAGTAGCAATGTACTTATCTTCAGTGCTCCAGGTGTCTTTTGTGCTTTGCCTTGCAAGAGTGGCATCATACCAACTCTGCCACCTGGCCCAGGTATCTGGCTCCTTTGTGTTATCAATGCCCACCCCACCGGGCTTGTAATGATCAATCAGAAATAAACGCTTTGCCCACGGCGCCAGCATGATGTCCACCAGACTATGGTGGTCGCCCAAAAACCATGGGCCACTAGGGTCCATCTCTTTCACGAGAATACGGATCTGACCTAGAAAGTCATTGCGCGCCTCCTCGATGCTGTAAGACTAATCGGGAGTATGCTGTAAGAACCTGTAGAACTTTGGGATAATGCGCGAGTTTATGTGATCGATCCAAAGTCTACACCTCGCCCGCTCGTACGCATCCTTAGGCAAAAGTCGCGGGCCATACTTGCTTTCATCGTCATAGGCCTCATCAAGATATTCGCAGATGACCGTGCTCTCATACAGTGGCTTCTGTTCCTTCCCCTTTGCATCAACAGGCACGCCAAGGGTTGGGACGAGACCCCGAGGATTCAAAGCGAGAAACTCTGGCTCCTTGCGGTAAGGATTTATCTCGATGTATTGATGAGAGATTTTCTTCTCGTGCAACACCATCCAGCTACGCTGCACGAAAGGGCAGAACCAGCCGCCATAGAGTTTGAGTGGATGCTCCTCAGCATGGGATGCAGCGAATGCTGCAGCTAGCCCGCTGGTATGGGGCTCGATGTCGGTGTCCACGCTGGACATTCTAAATTGATGATGAGTCTAGGTTCTCGGAGGAAATCTAGTGAAATAGCCTTAAATAGAGGAGATAACTAATCTGTGAGATGGTCGCACAACGTAGTGCAGCGATTGCATGTCTAGAGATGCGAGCGTTCCCTGATTAAGAGGTGGATCTCTGGCTTGCACCTGTACCTCTTCTATGACGTGACCGCGGAATCGGCTTGCACATGTTATCTCCGACATGGTCACACGCTCTAAAGTTAGTATCTAGAACAGCTATTATTTGCTCTTTTCAAGATTTTCAGAACATCAAAGAGTTCTGATGAATCGCGACTGAATTGAGAATCAAATCCTCACAAGCTTATTGTTATTTGAATGCGGCTGCGCGCCTAAGTCTGACATGCTTGAATCCTTCGAGAAAATAAAGTAGGGAGCATTTCGAGGAGAGCCTCCCTAATACCTACAGCGAACAATCACTAACACTAACATTCTAGCGAGCTAGTCTAGATCTATATGAGTAATACCGCATAAGCAATCAATCTCAATAGGCCTTTTCTCTCAATATTGCTTGAGCCCATCTGTTTTTAATCGTCAACGCTGAAATTCCAAGGCCAGACGTTGACACGGGTTAAGAAAGCCAATTCGTCAGAAACGAAGTGATCGATGATATTGATCCCAATTGCACCGTCAAACCCCCCTGAAAAAGGTGGAAAGCCAGGAAACCACCCCGGCGCTTACAAGTGAGCCTTATCAGGGACCCCAAACCTGGGGTCGGAACCAGAAACCGAGACGTTCGTATTGAAGACCCCACAAGTGGTAGGGGCTCCCCCCCTGGTCTGAAACCCAGGGTGCTCGCCTAAGATTCTCGCGCTCGCTTCATCCCGATCGTGAGACATCGTGAAAACGCGCCAAAGGGAAATTTTAGTCGCAAATTTAGTGGCTAGCCCCGGCAGACCTGGGTGCTGGGCCATTGCCATGCATTCAGACGAGATGACTAGAGCTTGAGACGACACACGCCCTTGGCTACAAGGCTATATGCACTAAGCTTGATCAATAGGAGAAATGCCCGTCAATCCGATACAATCGTCGACCGGGTCCGCTCAGGGTAGTATATAACCTCTAGCATTCGGGCGATCATCCAGCAGAGTCTTCCCTTTGGATCAATCGTCGATCATCCGCTTCTTCTTTCTCTCTTTGGCCGGTCCACTCCGTAGTTTCCATTCACTACAGTCACTCTTTCGATCTTCACTGCTTATCTTCATTGCCTTGTATATATCTGCACCTTTTGTCCATATTCGCTGTCAAAATGAAGCTCCTTACTATCCTGACCTTGGCCGCCTCGGCCTCGGCCCTCGCTGTCCAGCCTAGACACCATCAGGGCAAGACCAAGGGCAATGGCAGGAATCGAAATGGTGGTAACCGGAACGGAAATGCTGCTGCAATCAGCTCAACTGCAGTTGCTGCTGCCCCTGCGACCACCAGCGCTGCGGCAGATGCTACCACTGGAGGTACCACGACCGCGGCATCTGGCCAAACCATAGTTCTCTTCGAGGTCAATGGCGTCCCTGGCAATGAGTGCTTGACGTTCCGCAACAATGGTAAATACCGTCTTATGAAGGACCTATCAAGGAACGTAGGTTTGGGCAAGTCAACTAATATCCATCCTCTTCTAGGCGAGATCGTCGATGCTGCCTGCGTCAACACAGCTGCGGATAGACAGATCACACCAACAACAATCGGTGGCGAGGATGTACTGAAGGTGCAGCGGACATTCACGGCCGGCTTCCGACCTGATCTGGTCGACGTGGATGCATGTGTGGGCTTCAACGGCACGCACTTCAAGGCTGTGGACTGCGCGGACACATCCAACGAGCCTGTCACCTTCACCGGCGGCGAGCTGCGGTCGACGAGCGGCGCGTGTGCCAGTGGCCACGACGGTGCCGCGCAGCTGCAGGTCGATCCCACTGGCGCGACCTGTGCAACGTTCACAAGCACAGATGTCCAGCCTGCAACAGCTTAAATATCACTGTAGTTGCTTTAATAAAGAGAAACTAAGCTTTATCATCCATACCCATACGTGATTTATCAAGGGTTATTACCTGTAAAGCTTTGGTGTTTCGTAAAGAGCATTTGAGTTTTAGGTCGTAAGCCTCGGAGGCCAATCTTTTGGTGAATTGTTCAGTCCAACCTCAGCCTCTATAGACAACTCACACAAATGGCAAGGTCTAGTCGTCTTCCAATTTGAAGCAGTCCCAATCCGTATGACTCGAATAGTTGTAAAATTGCTGACTGTCACGCACATGCTTGAGCCTTACAGACAGGTCCCCTGAATCACACAGATATTATACTACACTTCATCAGGAGAATACAGGGAAACATAAGTTACATTAACTAAACCAGTATGGTGATCAGAAAATGCAGAAAAAAGGTCTCAACAGCTACCCAGGGATGATTTCGGCCTCCGCTTGAACTCTCCTAAGACTACAGTGGACTCGGTATTGCCGAAGTCGACGAACCCGGGATCGCCGACGAGACAGGAAGTGTGGGTATAACAGTGGTAGTAGGCTTAGTAGAAACACTGTCTGCTTCCTAGAGCGTATCATTAGTGTATGCTTGTCCCTGCAGGTTAACATACTTACTGTGATAGAGACGATCACCTCTGCAAAGTTGGAACACACACTGTATCCGAAGAGACTTGACAACGCTGCAGTAGTCCCAAGACAAGTCGTATTGCCAATATATTGGCACGTATCGTCCTGCTGTTGCAGCTCTGGCCGACATGTACAAGAGCTAAATCGAGTAGCATCGGTTTCAGAGATGTAGGCTAAGCACTCGCTGAGCAAGGTTTTGGCCTCGGCACAGGCAAGCTCGACATCTTGCTCACAAAAGTCTTCTGGATAGGCGGTGAAAGCGCTTTTTATAGGTGTTGTAGGCGAGTACGTTACGACATCGTCACAAAGGCTATGCTAAGACAACATTTGCTCATCAAAGGTACTATCCAGGTCGTTGTTGAGGAAGCAGAGCCTATATTCGTTTTCACAGCATTTTTAGCATTAGTAGTAGATCTCTCCTTCGGCCATGGAAATCAAAACCTATAAGTGATGCTATATGCTAGAGTTGATGACGACGTACCCAAAGACTGAATCCAGATAGGTTTGATTACAGAACAAAATGCTGCCCGAATCTTGCTCTCGCCCATTCCTTCTTCGTGAGTGGGCTAGTGCTGCTGCTGCTTTAACCTGTGTTGTGGGTGTGCAGCAGGTGTGCAGCAGGTGTGTGGCGGGTGTGCTTAGTGTGTTGATTATCTGGGAGCCTCAATCTGCCACCCTGGTCAAAGTTGCTATACAGCCAAATAAAAAGAAAAGGTATCAAGTTTATAGGGGTGCATTCCAGACTCCATCTATCTGATTTCTACTCATCTTCTTCGATTCTCTTATAGAGAACTAATATGTCTCTAGTGTTGATTATGTAGTTTTGATTTCTAGTCTCATCTATCTACCTTAGACTTTTCCCAACGAAGATGACATACACACAACACTGAACCACACACTAACAAGAGATGGACAAAATATAAAACAGAAAGATTCTAGGTAAAATATCAACATAAGGTATCAATGGAGATCCAAATTCCTACAATATAAGAGACCTGCATCGCTTTGCGATGATGGTAAGGCAGACTGAAATAACCAACACGACTTCTGCTACACTTCATGCCTAAGCTTGTAGAACATGGTAAAGGTACGAAGTCGCAGCCTGCTTTGCACAGCATACCCTATAGGCACTACGGAACTTCCGGATATGGAAGTTACGGCAGATTCGGCGAGAGCGAGTAGGAAGCAAGGGACAAAGCTAGGCACATGCCAGGAGATGACACAGTTGCTTTCCATACGCATGACGAAACCCCTTTTCTGCTCCTCGTGTACGCAAAACCGATCGACCAAGAAAAGATACCTTGCCTCCGCTGCAACGTTGAAGGTCTCATCCCTTCCAATCTGCCCAAATCTGCCTCGCATGCATGTGGCATGTATCAGGGCACTGCAAGGAGAACACAAGAGACACAAGCTCAAACCAAGGGTGAAGCTGTATAGCCTGTCTGTCCTGGGTGTAGCAAAAGTGTGTATGTATCTGTCTAAGTGGTAGTACCTAGGTAGTATAGAAGGTGGTAGGTGGCTAAGGTAGGTGGGTGTAGGTAGTGGAGGTCATGTGACCCAACAGCATGATCGAATACCGAAGGAACGGACGCTTAATGAAGGCACCATGCTGACGTGGCAGGGCTCTGCTGTCTTGCCAGGAATAGCTGTCGTGGAGGGATCAGGGGCTTTGTCTTAGCTACCCCACTTTGGCCAAATCCTTTTTTTTATCCACAGTGTGACTGTTTCGTTTAGTTGGTCGAGTAAAGTTTTAGTGTCAATGAAGCAGACAGCTCGCCATAAGAGGCAAAATAGAGGTCTGAGATCATTCTGCAGACTATCGTGAGCAGACTGAAGGGACAGAAGGTGAGTCAAAACCTCCCCTGGCATAATGAAACCTATCCAATTGTATGTCTTCCCACATCAGTCATTGCTGGGCTGAAAAAAAAAACCCCGACGAAATTTGGAATCTGAATTGGGCGATCCAATCAGAATGCTCTTCGAGGTCCCAATGGGGCTGCAGCTGCCGGGGGGTGTGGCTAGAGTCCTAATGAGTTGTCTTGATCAGAGTTGTCGAAGAAAATTTTAGCGTCAATGAAGCAGGCAACCCACCAATAACAAGGCACAAAGATGAGAAGCACACAAACTGCCGGTATTGCCTCAAATTTGAATTTATCAGAGTCAGTCCTCGCCGGCCTGCTAATAATTAATTGGCTGGCTTACTGCTTCGTTGACGCTAAAATTTTCTTCGACCAACGAGGGATGTGTCTGCCATCGAGGACAGCCCTTACGACCTCTTGTTGGTTGGCTCACTGCCTCGTGGACGCTAAAATCTTTCGCGATAGCTGTGACCCTACACACAACCAGCCTGCAGCGTTTTGCAGTCCATCTGACCGCCAGTCTGCAGTCCATACAAATTTCACTCTTAAAGCGTTAAGCTCGTAGACTTATCCTCAACACTGGCTTACCTCATGGAGTTTGTACCTCCTTTGGAGAAGTGGTGCGTTGCTAGATGTAGCCTGAAATCCAGTCTCGAATGAAGTGTCATAGAGCAATATCGGCATGGCCACTGTCTCTTCGTTGCCTCTGGCTCCTTCGCTTTCTTCAATCTTAGAAATGTCGCTGAAAGTTTCTCGATACCAGGATGGACGTTCCGTTTGTGCTTTTCCATCTCCTTCAATGATGCGAAGCCAATCTTAGCAGCAGGACAGTCGCTCTCGTCGCAGATGAAAGGCCGGTCATGGCGGTCATAATGGCCCTGTCGTTGCTTCGCAGACTGGCAGCCTTCGTGGAAGTAATAGCACGACATTCTCGAGCATTTAAACCAGCGATCGCCGTACAGCTCTCCCAGAGACTTCATCTCGGCGCTGCCTTTTGCAGTCGACGTCGATAAATTCTCTAGTGCAGCCCGATTCCTATTGAGACAGTCTCTAAGGCTCCTTAGACTTATGTTGTCTCGCCCTCCATCAGTAAGCGCTCGAGAGGTCTTGGCATGCTTCCCTAGAAGCATCAAAGTTGCGGAGCACCCATCAGAAAGAGCGTTCGGGTTGTTGGAGGGTTGGTCTTGATCTACATGTGTCGAGGACAAGTCTTCGCGGAAGCGATCGCCAAAGACTATGATTGCGCTCGAAAGACCGTGTGAATCAGGCATTTGATGCCCCTGTGCGTGGTTCAAACATTCGAGGAGCCCGAGTACGTGATCCTCCCAATGCGCAACTGCGTAATCTTGGAAAACGAAGTAGCCTTCCTGTCCGAACCGGCCCAGCTGATGTGAGTCTATATCCTGCTCAAAGCATTCAAATGTGAGATAATTTAAGCAAAGAGTCGCCATTGCTTGTTCTGCAAGTATCATGGGTATGTATCCGGATTCGACCACATATCTATATATAGCAGGACTCTTAGTAGCACATCTCTGACGGCGAGTATCGGATGTATGGACTAACAATCTGGCTGTCATGTGAGAAAATTCAACTCTATCTCCTGCAAGGATCTCGACAAGAGAGCCACAAATGGTGTTGATGTGCATCGGCAATCGTCTAGTTGGATCAATGACTTGCTCCGAGGGATCAATAGAGATGGCCGATTGTAACTCTCGCCACCGCAAAGCACGCTTAGAGCAGACCATCAAGCAGAGAATCTTTCGAGTAACTTTGGCCTCGTTACTGCTTGAATCATTTTGAATGCGGTCGAGTGTCCTGCCATAGCTAGAGAAAGATGTCAGCGTTGCCATTCGCTAAGTTGTAACCCCAAATACTAACGCGTCATTCAATCCGTTGGGGAGCCGGTCGAGCTCCTTAAAAAGATGATATTGACTAGGCTGGGCTAAAAGATGTGTCAAGATGAGTTTCGCGTACAAGAACATCCCTGGAACATGGTTAGAGAAATTCTAGCTTGGAAAGGACTAGTTATACCATCAGACCTATCGAGCACGTTGAGCTCAATATATTCTTTCCACTCCTTGGCGAGATGAAACTTATCGCTGATATCAGCAGTGCGATGGTGGACATATGATCTCATATCATCCAAGGTGTCTGTGCGACCAAATCTGATGGTGGCAGCCAATGCCAATGCCTTCTTGATATCGGGTTCATCGCGGCTGAGGAAAAGAATCCGAAGTTTTCCGGGGTGAGTCGTGTCGCAGACATTGGAGGCTTCGTTGAAGTAGTCTAAGATCTGCTTTCTCTCGCCGGGATCACACTCGTCTATGCCGTCTATGACGAGATAAACTTTCGTGATGTTTTGTAGCAAAGAACGAAGGAGAGTCTTGCATAGCTTTGCGGAACACAGTGTAATTTCGCCGCTCTGAATGCCGGCGTCATAGTAGAATGGCACAAGGTGGGTCTGTTGTTTGAGCAATTGGCTAAGGATGGCCTTGAGGACTGAGATGAAC